TCTTCATAGATTTTTTTTAATGGATCTTAGGGCTGTAAATGGCCCAGAAAGCTTAACCTAGAGTTATAATATCAAACTGCTGCATCTGAAGCTATGCTGTGTCTTTAACATAATGTAACTACCCCAGCGATCGCAATTGAATAGAACTATTAGCTACTATATTAACTATATAAAGTAGTATATAGCAATTATAAATTACTATTTTTTCTAGGTTATGGGTAAAATATGGTAATTCTTATGGTTTAATAAAAATAAATAGATTTTTGGAAATTATCAGGCGACCCCCTTTCATTGTCACATGACCCCTCGGGGGGTCCCGACCCCCACTTTGAGAACCAGTGAAGTAGTGCACTATTTAAGGGTGGGGGGGGGGCATATTTTGGATACAGCCATGGTTGCTGTTGTTGCCAAAATTGGCTGGTCTGAGTGTTTCAGAAACTTCTGATCTTCTGGGATTTCATGCCAACCATCTCTGGTGTTTACAGAGAATAGTCAAAAATTTATTAAAAAAACATTTAAAAACCATGGATTATACAATGACTGGCAGTTCTATGGGTGACAATGCCTTGTGAAGGCCAGAGATCAGAGTAGAATGGCCAGAGTGGTTCAGCTGATAGAAAGGCAATGGTTACACAAAAAAGAAACTTGCAACAAAGGTCTGCAGAAGCTTCTCTGAGTGCACAACATGCTAAAACCTAAAGCAGATGTGCTAGAGCAGCACACCAAAGTGTCTTCAATTCTGCTGCAAAAATTCATTTGGTAGGGTGCGAATTTGGTGTAAACAACATGAAAGCATGGATCCATCCTATTAATCGATTTAGGATTCTGATGGTGGTCTAATGGTGTGGGGAATATTTTCTTGGCACACTTTCGATCCTGAGTACTAACTGAACATTGCTGAAACTCCAAAGCCTGATTGGGTATCATTGCAGACTATGGCTATTTCTTTCTGACCAGTGCTTAACTTGTGATACCTCCAGCAAATTTCAAATTATCTTAAACTGGTTACTTGAACAAGTAAATCAGTTCAGTATACTCAAATGTGCTCCACAGTCACCAGATATCGATCCAGCAGAGTACATTTGGGATGTGCTGGTATGAGAGATTGACATCATGGATGTACAGCTGACAAATTGCTGCAACTGTGTAATAATATTGTGTCAATATGGACTGAAATCTCTAAGGAGTGGTTATAGCACCTCATTGAATCAATAGCATTAAGAATCAAGGCAGTTCTAATTGCAAAACAGGGTCCAACCTGGTACTAACAATGTATATAATAAAGTATATGCATTGAAATATCTGAGACCAAGTTAACAAAAGAACAAAATCCAAGAGTTGTGTATTGAATAGCAAAGATGCTGCTATGCCAATATTTGCTACTAAATAATACAAAAAAGCTAAGGATTTCCAGATCATCCAGACTGTTAGCAATTCCTTTATTTGAGACAGAAACGCAGAAGCTTTAACGACAACAAAAAAACAAAACAGTATCTCTGCTCATTTCATTCTTGCTTTAAGCATCTGACTCTAGTTGAACTATAAGAAAGCAATAAACCTGTAATGAGTCTTAAGAAGGCAACAGTAAAACAAAGCACTTTCATTACAATAAACATTTGGAAATTTGTTTCAGCTATTGAGAAGCTATCGGAGTAAACAAGTTTCATAGCACCTAAGAGGACTGTATAACTACACTGAGTTATTTATGAGCGCATTGACGAATGCTGACAGGGCTGCGATCGATGCACATTGATTCATGTGTGAAGCTCAGAAAGAAATTCCAGCATATCCCCTCCCGGCATGACTACTTACACGTCTGTGTTCACATGCATGTCAGATTTAGTTTTATGTCATCACATTCCTCATATTGGACACAAATTCCCTAATGACTTTGTCTGTGTACAATTTCAGAGCAGGTTTTTACCCCTTCCAGGTGATTCATAAAGTACATGACATGCATATGTATTGTGGGTCAAGTAAATAAATCCTCTCTGGATCTCGTAAGACATGAGGCTAGTGTTCCCTGAGCAGACCAGCTCATGGCTGCTCAATAAAACTGTCTGTTACAGCCTAAACAAATATATTTGGCACAAACTAATGACACTTTCCTCTGATGGGTGGTATTGTGGGCAAAGTTTTTGTTCTAATGGCTGCTTGGATCTCAGTCCAGTAGATTGAACTCCTTTTGGGGATCAAAAGTGCTCAAATTAAAAGCAGAACAGTATAAATATTTTGCTCAAGTTATAGATGGGATTTAATCAAGAGATGCACCACTGAATAGGCTAATAATCCAACACAGGCTTTAATACATGACTTTACCTGATTTTCTGCGAAACCTGCCCTTTTCAGATGACATTGCCACAATAATCTATGGGGCTCATTACACCTGGTCACTTCATGCTTTTTTCTGATAGCTATCTGATTATGAAATGGGCAGGTGTAAATGCCCTTCGAAATGCATTCGAGACTGATTGCTCAAACCCATGCCGGTCAACATTGGAATGTAAAAATGCGGGATCTCTCCCTCCCATCTCCCCTCAACCAGCAGTAGGTAGTTCTGACGCCTCACAGCCGCTGAGTCGCTGTTTCGAACCTCGGCTCAGTTGACGTTTCTGTGTGGAGTTTGCATGTTCTCCCTGCCTTTGCGTGGGTTTCCTCCGGGTGCTCCGGTTTCCCCCACAGTCCTAAGACTACGGTACAGGTGAATTGGGTAGGCTAAATTGTCCATAGTGTATGAGTGTGTGTGTGTGAATGTGTGTGTGAATGTTTCCCAGAGATGGGTTGCGGCTGGAAGGGCATCCGTTGTGTAAAAACTTGCTGGATAAATTGGCGGTTTATTCCGCTGTGGCGACCCCGGATTAATAAAGGGACTAAGCCGACAAGAAAATGAATGAATGTTGATGAAAGTTAGTTATAGTTAAAGTTATAGTTATTTAGTGAAGCAGCAAATCTCTTATTTTAATCCACTGTTTTGTTTGATAATAGCTGTCACTTTAAAAATGTTTGATAGTAGAGCTGTTACTTTAAAATTCCACAGATCTATAATGAAGGTAATCGATTACTTTCGTAACTGTTTGTACTCATTTAAGACAAAACTATTTGTGTTTAAAATAAAACACGCCAGAACAGACATGTCTACATATTAATAAGTATGTTTGTCTGTTTACAAACACACCTAAATCCCAAAGCGTCCACGTGTCACGTGTACAGAAGCTGATCTGGGAACAGTGTGTTTATCACTATAGAGCGCGTCCATCAGTGAGCACCATTATGCATTGACTGAGAGGTTGCAAATGAGGGGCGATGGTCGACGCATAGCTTTAATGGAAATGAAGCAAGTGCTGCCATTGTAATACTAATTTTAACTGAATTAAAGCGAAAGTGTAACTGTTGATTCTCTTGAACAGCTTTTGCAATTATATCACATTTGCGGGCGAGGCAGTGGCACAGTGGGTAGCACGGTCGCCTCACAGCAAGAAACTTGCTGGATAAGTTGGCGGTTCATTCCGCTGTGGCGACCCCGGATTAATAAAGGGACTAAGCCGACAAGAAAATGAATGAATGAATCACATTTGCGATCGGCTCTTTGATGCTACTTTCACTTTTGATAGAAAGATTTAAAATATTGGAGAAATCCGGGAAAATATTTAAATGGTATGAATGGTAAAATATGGGAGAATCCCAGCAAAAATGGGAGGGTTGACAGGTATGCTCCAACCACTTCAGGACATGGTCTGGGATGCATTAAGTCAAAGCTTGACAGATATAAATGCAACTAAGTCAAATAAAATGCATTATATCTGTCATTTTTTTAAACATAGTGTTAAATTTGCATATAAGGCAGGATCTGTAAATCATTTATTTGGCCAAATGCAAATAGAATTTATTTATTTTCACTTCATTGTAAATGGTGGATTGTTAAAACAGATGCAAAAATATGTTTTTTGGTACAAGGAGCTGGCAAAATGATGCTCTGTTTAATATAGTAAGTTGTTTTACAGCAGTTTCAAAGTGAAATGTCCTGTGTCTGGTGCTATAGCAGCGTTTAATACCTTATACAAAGAACAAAACCAGAGTCAGGAATTATACTGTCTTCATTTGCTGCAGTATCGAAGTTGTTCAACTTTCTACTTATGAAGCTGTGATTACGAGCTTGTTCCATTCAATTCTTGTCTGGAAGTAATAAAATCTAGCAAATTTTACCTAATTGGTTTATGACCACATAAACATCCACTGCTAAATAGTCCTAATAGATTTAGGAATTTCAGTATAATTTCACTATGTATAAAACATAAAAATGCTTCAATAAATTGATCATGTTGATATATAAATAAATAAATAAATAAATAAATAAATAAATAAACTCTACTAATAAACTGGCCACTTAAGTAGGTACACCTGGCCAACTGCTTGTTAATGCAAATTTCTAATCATCCAATCACATGGCAGCAACTCAATGCATTTAGGCATGTAGAAATGGTCAAGATGATCTGCTGTAGTTCAAACCGAGCATCAGAATGGGGAAAAAAGGTGATTTAAGTGAATTTGAAGGTGGCATGCCAATGACCAGCCAGCAAATCTGCAGCAACTGCGTGATGCTATCTTGTCAATATGGACCAAAATCTCTGCGTAATATTTCCAGTACCTTGTTGAATCTATGCAACAAAGGATAAAGGCAGTTCTGATGGCAAAAGGGGGTCTAAGGTGTATATATTAAAGTGGCCAATGAGTGCATGTATGTATATGCACTACTTAAACAACGTTGTTGTGAAGGAAAAAGTTAATCAAGAATAGTCACAATATCAATGGTTCTCCACTAGTTTATGTCCAACCCAACTTAGGAACTTAAGTATTAACATCTGTTAAATTAGGTTACTACTGCTTTGTTATTTGCCTTCAAATTATCAAAAAATATCAAAAAAATTTATGAGTAATAAATATGCATTTTATTCAGAAATATTTGCTTTAAGTGTTCCTCATGCCGATCTTCTTTTCTGCAGGATTTCAGGGCAGCAGTGGAGTCAGGAGGAGATGATAACGGACCTCTGATAGAAAATGGGAAGCTGGATGAGATCTTCAGCACTCTTCCTCAGGCATACAGCTTACACAGCGAGATCCTCAACGAGCTGGAGACCCGTATTAAACAGTGGTGAGAAGCACATTGCTGATGCACACCATACTAATGCATATCCTCACTCCATAAAAAGAACATACTCATGTCATATATTACATGTGCATTTTTTACATGGTGCTAATGCATGCACTTCACATTCATGCATCTCCTTACCTTAGGTTCATAAAAATTCATACAAGCTGATGGGTTCTTTCTTACTTTACACACACACAGATCTCTTATCTGTGATGTTACAGAAGCACTATCCATTATAAAGCTGCATGAATGTCCTTGGATGCCCTCTGAAAAGTTCTTGTTGTTTGTCATTCATCTTCAGGGAGGACAGTCCGACAGTGGTTGATGTGATATTAACGCGCCGAGCTGAGTTTTCTTCTTTTGCGACCTACATCTCCAACTATGATCGCAGCATGTCAGTGCTGGACGAGAGCTGTAGAAAGAGTCAAGCTTTCGAGGATGTGGTGAAACAGTTTGAGGTGAGCTCTGAGATGTACTTAGATCTGTGTTGATCACAATTTAATGATTGTAGTGATATTTTAATGTATATTTAGCTCTCATTAAGTGGCTCATAAAATTGTTGAAATGTTTTTATGCAAGACATAACCTTATATTTTAAAATGGTAAATAAAATAGTAAAAAATTATTCATGATAAGGCATAAATGGTGATCAGCGCTTCCCACACTTAGACTTTACTTGGGCAAGCCACCCAGGTATATTAACCGCTGCCCATTTGGTGACACTTTGTTGTTTACTATTATTATTTTCATCACTGTTTTACACAGTTTTGTTTCTGCCTAAGATAACTAAACATATGCGATCGATTACACACTGGAACTCTCACTGTACTCATTTCATACTGCTGGTTGTGTGAGTCTCCTAAAATGTCCGGTATTCGACTTTTGCTTTCGATCTCTAAGCTGTTTGATTGTAGATTGTTTTGCATTACATTTTTATTTAAGCCTTCTATACTTTCGCTTGGCTTTGCAGTTGACTGCTGAAACATTAAATAATTAATTCTTTAAACAAAAAAACTCAGAAAAACTTTACTATTAATTCGCAGAGAAAGTAATGACATCTAAACTGGCTGCAAAGTGTGTTCAGCCTTAAATGCTTCATCAACTAATTTGCCTTATTTAAATTATGTTTATTCTTTTTATCTGTAATTTATTTCTTATTTGCTGTATATTTTATAAATTTGGTGGTAATATATTACTTATTTTATACTTATCTAAAATGCTTTGGCAATACAGTTCAAAATATCATGCCAAATAAGAAATTTGAACACAAGAGAGAAACCGAGCGATCAGCAGCAGCTTTTACCTGTCAGTGGGTGCACATGGCTCTCAAATAGCATAAAAGTAAGAAATATAGTGGATTTCTTTTTTTCATTTCAACAGTATTAAAAAAAACTTTAAAAAGAAACAGTGTGTAACAGTGTCATAATAAATAAAAATATTATCAAAAATTACATTATTTTTCTTTGCCACATGTAGTTAACCATTTATGTGCCATTTATGTATGTTTCAATCAGGCTTCCACCGCAAGTACAGTTGAAGTCAGAATTATTAGCCCCCTTTTGATTTTGATTTCCTTTAAGTATTTCCCAAATGATGTTTATCAGAGCAATGAAATTTTCACAGTATGTCTGATCATATTTTTTCTTCTGGAGAAAGTCTCATTTGTTTTATTTTGGCTAGAAAAAAAAACAGTTATTAATTATTTTAACCATTTTTGGGACAAAATTGTTTGCCCCTTTAAGCAATTTTTTTTTCGATAATCTACAGAACAAAACATCGTTATACAATAACTTGCCTAATTACCCTAACCTGCCTAGTTAACCTAATTAACCTAGTTAAGCCTTTAAATGTCACTTTAAGCTGTATAGAAGTGTCTTGAAAAATATCAAGTATAAAATTATTTACTGTCATCATGGAAAAGATAAGATAAATCAATTATTATAAATACGTTTTTAAAACTATTATGCTTAGAAATGTGCTGAAACAATCTTCCCTCCATTAAACAGAAATTGGGGAAAAAAATAAACAGGGGCGCTAATAATTCAGTGGGGCTAATAATTCTTCAACTGTATATTTCAAACCTGTGGGAAGCAATGGTGATAGATAATAATTATTATTTATTCATAACTAGTGTGGTAACAGATAATTAAGTTTTGTGTTTTTATGCATAGTGAATTATGAAATATTATTATAGGTTAAATTTCTTATACAGTGTTTCCTCTAGGATTTTTTCCAGCTGTGGCAGCAGGCCTTTTTTTTTTTTACACAGATCGACCTGTGGCGTTATTTCAGTAACAAATGTCGTGAGTGCAGTATTAGAAGTCGAGATTGCATTTATGTAATAGCCTACAGCATGCGGATCTCTTTGCTTGCGCGCCAATTTCCTCTGCTCGTTCAAAAAACTTTTTGCACGCCCTTCAAATATAAGCCACTTTAAGAGCGCACAGATCTTGTGCCCGCTCAAATAAATGCTGCTGAAGTGCGATTTAGTGCGTTTATGTAACGAGTATGTCTCCAGCATTTATTGGATTTGCTAGGAATATTTATGAATGTCTCCAATAGTCCTACAGAGTAGCATTAATGCGTCCTGAAGTAAAGTGAACGGCTATACGTAGTGTTTGCTGGCACGCACCTGTCAGTCAGCCAGACAGTCAGTCAGCACGTAACCTTAAAGGGTCACGAAACACCAAAACACATTTTTTGAGCTGTTGACAGTGGTATATGTGTCCCACACTGTTAGGACACATAATTAGGACACACACTAATTAAATTTGTCCCACACTATTAGGACACCTATATTTCACAAAAAAGTGTAAATTGGTTGTTTTTGCGTTATTTCAAGCAAAATTCGTACTTCCGGTTTGAAACGAATTTTTGAAGCTGCGTCACGGTCATGACATAATAGCGTTGTTGTGCCAGAGTGTGTCTTATTACGTCTTACAGTGTGCTGCATTAATGCATGAGTAAGACTTGGTTCAAACCAATCAGCGCGCTCTATTGTGCAACTTCATTAATATTCATTACTTTCACAGTGTTTAGACGGCATAGACGCCACGTTGTTTTGGCAAAACAAGCGTGAAGTGTTGCTTTTATAGTTTGCTGCAGTTAAGTTTCGTTTTCATTTTCTCTCTGTGAGAGCGCAGACTCATGTGTGGATTAACAGTGTACGCGACGCTCGACAACAATAACTTACGTGTCTAAGGAGGAACATTGTTTACCTGAGAGCTGTTCTCATCTGCAAACGCTGAGATCCTGACTCGCTTTAGTCTTCTCTTAATAAAGACGCGGCTCTTGTTGCTGGTGATTGTCCTGTCTCTACAGATTTGGTAAGTGAGCGACCAGTGCTCTTTGTTTATTCAGTTTATTCGTATCGAATAAACTATTGCACCGAGTGTAAACATGTTAGCACCACAACAAAACTTTAACCTCATGTAGAGTTTTTACCGCATTTTGTGACCGGAATAACACACGCGGCTTTCTGACACTACCTGTCGTGTGCATCTAAGTTTCCGGGAAATGCTGAGTTTTTTTTCTCTTATTCGCCGTGCGGTATCAAACATTGCATGAAAAATACACGCTTAGAGCAGTTCCTCGAATCAAATATCTCGTTTGTTGCGAGGGAGATGACTGAATTCCCTGAATGAAAGAGCCAAACTGCAGTTAAAGTCCACCATTTAATAATTTGGCAAATAATTCGACTACAGATGTCCATGTAGGTTAAACACTATCACTTTCTCCTGTGTGTGTCTGTGTGCATTTTGATTCTGAAACTCGCGCGTGCCCAAATAGACACTCCTACACCATCCCACTTTTCTTCCTCCTACACTCCCCCTAAACAGAGCTGGACACGCCCACTTTTCTGACTTTTTCCAAAGTAGAGGTGTGAAAACACCCTGCTGAAACGAGGGGGTTTCATGGCCCTTTAAAGGGTTAAACAAAAAGCACACAGCACTACTACGGTTACTGAAAAGTTTGCGCTGTTATAATTCACTTACCCTTTAATACGTTTTGGTGTGATTATTACCCGCTATTAAAAAATAGTCTTTAGAATGAGAAGCTGTAATGTAGCCGTGGCAGGATGAATTTTGGCGTGGCGTCCCGCCATGGAAGAATGAATGTAACGGAAAGCATGTTATATATTTCTTTATATATAACAAATTTAAACTATAATAATATTTAACTTAGTGACACTTAATATAAATCTTTAATGACACATTTCCCTTCAGAAACAATTCTAAAAATAAATAATTATTGTTATCTGTGTTAATGTATTTTGACAAAAAAAGAGCCTTTTGCATTTATTAGATACAAAAAATACTTTTACAGTACATTGTGAAAAATTATTACTACTATATAAAAAAATTTTAACTTTAAAAAATTAAGTCATTCCTGTGATGAGAAAACTTGTTTTTTTAGTAGTTATTACTACCCTCTTTAGTGTCAAAATTAAAAATAATGTGTATTAGTTAATAGTGTCAAAAATAATGCTTCAAAAATACATTCTGATGTTCAGGTTTTTGTTGATTGCATTATTGTCACTGTTGAAAACAATTGCTCTGTTAAATATTTGTTTTGTAACTGTAATACACTACCCAGTTTGATTTTGAAAAGAAATCCTAATAATTTTAAATACTTTACATAAACTAAATGTAAAGCAATTGTAGATTGGGTCTTCAGTTATTTCTAACATTCGAAGAAATTTTGTTTTAGATTCATGTTTTATTTTAAAATGTGTGTGAGTGTTCAATAGCACAATTACTTTTTGCTGTGATATCAACTTTATTGAATCTTGTAGCATTGACTAATAGGCTTGGTATCAATAGTATCACTTGTAAATTCAAAACACGATCAGTTCACAATAATGTTTCTACATTCATGGCAGAGACTCCGCTGAATCATTTAATTGGTGGAGTCACTGACCACACATTTCAATGGTGATCAGGATCACCAACGACAAGAAGCCAGCTGTCCTCATTAATATGCATGAGCATCTGTATTCTGGGACGCCTCTGTGGGTGGCACACTCAAAACTGGACCCTCAATGTATACCAAGAAAAGAAAGGATGATTAAGCCAAATGTTCTTTAAATGCGGCTACTCTCATTGAAAAGTACAAATGTATGTATATTTATTCTTAAATCTGTAAACTTAGGCTGGTTTTTGCGCAAATATTTGTAAAACAAGGTCTGTTTTATCTTTCTCTTTTTTCAAGAAGAAAATTGTTGTTGTTCCAAAGCAGCTATTATTTTTCCAAAGCAGCTTTACCAACGGGTGCACTTTTTAATATTACATTCAAAATCAGAAAAAGTTACTACTCAAGCTCATTGGAAATACTTGCCCAGGGTTACTAAGTTAATCATGTTCTAACTTAAATTGATAAATGACCCTATTTTAAGTCAGTTTAACAAAATAGTTCAATGGACTCATAAGGTTAATTTGATTCAGCTTTAAAACTAGTA